TATTATTTCTTCCATTCCTTCGCAGTCTCTGACATCAATCTCCTCTAGATTTTGGAGATATTCCACCAACTTCCAAGATGGAAACAACTTCTTTAATTTTTTGCATGAAAAAATCCAAACTACTTTAAGAAGTGAAAAAGTTCCAGGTGGAGGTGATGACCTCGCAATGATGTCTGCTTCAAATAGCCCATCCAATTTGTGCAACAGCTGAAGATCCAGATACTCAATGGTTTGTACCACTGGGTTGTGTATCCACGAGGGAAAAATGCACTCCATTCCCTTACAATTGAAAATCCGACATTCCCTCAAATCTGTAGCATCATTGATTGTAGAAAAATCATTTAAGCTTCTTATATCGTGGCATTCTTCAATACCTAATATTTGTATGGAGGGAAATAACATATTTTCTCCAACAATACTAGTCCCCGTGAACACCACTACTTTCTTATATCTTGGCGACTGCATTTCTTCAAACCGATGAATCACAAGCGAAGGCTTTCTGACAATTTTAATAAAATAGTCACTCAACCTATTAGGCTGACATTTGAGAAAGATTCTCATTTCATTCGCAGTGGGGAAGCAGCCATGAAAAACTTCCAACTTCTTCAATCTCCCAACCACGTTCCCCTTCAATTTTATTCTGCTCTTATCTACAATTAACTCTTGAAGTTTGGAGAGATTTGATAATACTCCATCTGCTATTTCATCTATTTCAAGAAAGTGACCTCCACGTGATCCACAAAGAAAAAGACATTTCAAATTCTTCAACATTCCCAGGCCTTCAGGGACTTCTTTGATTTTTGTCCCCCTAAGGTTTAACTTTTTCAAGGATTCAAGGCCTGATAAAGATGGTACCTTTTCTAGGGATGTTAATTCCAACAACAATGTAGTAAGCTTCACCAATTTGGAGACAGAATTTGGCAAGCTACTTAACTGCAGATTGAAGGACAGATCAAGAATTCTTAGCTCTAGCATGTGCTCAAAGACAGATTCTGAAATTGTTGACAATTTGTTATGGGCCAGCAGCAAGGTTGTGAGCCTTATGCATGTTGAAAATGCCAAGCTCGATGGAATTTCTTCAATATAATTATGCATTAATGAAACCTTCTCAACACTTTCTGCACAATTTACGCTCTCTGGTAGCTCTTTCAATGCCTTGCCAGCTTCTACCAAGAACCGAGGACTCATTCTTGTAATGTTTAAGGCCATGTCCCTGATAAGATCATGCATCCTCACACAATCTCCTTTACGTCCATCTTTAATGACTTCCAACAAGCTATTGTCTTGAAGCTTCCTCAAAATATCATAACCCTCATCCTTCATTGATTGTCGAGATTCCTCTTCATCTATAAACCCCTCGTCAATCCAGTTTTCAATTATTTCCTCCTTTGAAATCTTGTAATCCTCAGGAAACAGTGCACAGTATAAGAAACAATATTGGATCTGTTGGTTTTTCAAACGATCATAACTGAACTTTAATATCTTAAATACATCATCAACTGTACCAGCTACATTTCTTCTGCAATCTCTCAATTGATTCAATGCAGCCCTCCACGACGGTGGCTCAGATATTCCTTTTAAGCTACTAGCAACTGTAACAATTGCTAATGGAAGACCATTACATTCAGCCACAATCTTCTTCAAAGTTGATTCTAAATCCTTTTTAATGCCTCCTCCATGATTTGATAAAACAGCATCTCCAACTTTTTTTAAAAACAATTCCAAAGCTTCATCTTTTGAAAGAGTCTCCACTTTGATTCTTCTGCAATCCATTGAACGAGCAACCTCTTGTGACCGTGTAGTCAATACTAACTTGCAGCCATTAGTTTCATCTGGCTTAAGAATTCCAACATCTTCAAGTTTGAAACTGCTCCACACATCATCAAGAATCAGCAAGTAAGGCTTCTGTTCTTCTAGCATCTTTGACAACACTCCTGCACGAACAGTTTCATTTTGAATCTCTTCCAACCTTTCCTTCAAGCTGCATGCAATTTGTTCTTGCAATTTGCGAATATCAAAGTTTTGTGACACAGTTACCCAAATTATTTTCTTGAATTTACCTTCTTTTAGCAGTTCATTATGGACATGTTTCATTATTGTTGTTTTCCCGACTCCCCCCATGCCCCAAACTCCAAGCATTGTTACATTTTCTCCCTTCAAGCATGCCAAAATATTTGCTTTAACAGCCTCACTACCTTGTAACTCTTCTGTTGGCAGTTCAACTACCGAAGCTGATAGATCATCAATGACCAAACACCCATCAGTGTATCTATCCCCACTTTCATAGATTTTCTCCAATTCCTGAACCCTTTCCTTTAGAATCTTTACTCGACAACACCATGAGAACCATCCCCAACTATTCACTTCAACTTCAACCGCTGGTCTCGTGATAAACGTTTCTGCATCCTTCAACCATCTTTGCACTTCCTGCTTGGCAACCTTCCCATAGGTAAGCTCTCTGTTTAATTTTAATTCAATGCCATGCTTTCGATTGGACAACTCATCTTTCCTCCCCTTGTATTCTTCGAGAGAATCATTGAATTTTATCTGATCTTCCAGATGTGTCACAATTGGGCCGCCAACATAATTCACTGCTTCAATAATTAGTCCCACCAAGTCCATAACGCAGTCACTGCATCCACCACATTATTTACATAATTACATAAAGAAACGGTGATAAAATTCTGGTTTTGCATCTATCAACATATGCCTCTTGCATTCAAAACATGAAGGAAAACATAAACTAAATAAAATATTATGATAGTATTAAAGTTTTTTGATTTAGTGAAGAAGTCAGCAAGGTAAATCAAAACAAATGAAGATTTTGGGAGAGAAAAGTGAAAGTGAAGAAAATATGCGTGAGATAGTAATTGACATAAAATCCCATTTACAAGAAGTTCTATGGCAATCTCTAAAATTTTTCCTATCATAAATTTAAGGCCAATTTTCTCTTATCACTTTATCTAATATTAATTTCATTTCTTTTTAGTTACTGTAACTATTATGTTACAGGAAGTGTAAATGTAAATCCAAAACGAGGATAAAAAAAAAAAAGAAAAGAAAAAGAAAAAAGAAAAAAGAAAAAATTGGTTGACGGAAGATGGCGTTTTGAACCCAAAAGCACTATAATAGAAAGGGTTAAACAAATATAGACATTTTAAAGAATTGGTTGAAGCCAACCATGTCATTGAACATCACAAATGAGGAAAGAGTCAAACCAGCATTTAGATATTTTATCAAAAATACTATATGTATAACGGTATATGGTATTATAAATTTACAAGATCATGTTTTATTATATTTATATAATTAATTTTTTTCATTTAGGAGTTTATTGTTAATATTATATACATTTATTCATTTAATACTACAATATATTTTATTAAATACTACATAAAATTATAAAATTACAGTTTTACTTAGATATTTTGTTTGTCTACAATTTTGTTGACATTGTCTAACTTATACTTTAAACGTATATGTTAAAAGTACAATAAATACATTTTTTTATCATTAATTTACATTAAAAATTATAAAAGTTAACATTTATTTTAATATCACTCTCACATGGATAATTTTAAATTGGTTAATTGATTAAATTAAAGTAACATCTATACTTTTAATAAAAATTAATTATGAAGAAGTATATTAATTTCACCCTTATCCTATGCCTAAAAAATCAAATAATTATATAAAAATTTGTGGTCGACACAATTAATAGCACAATTAAAACCTCAATTTACCCTTAATTTAAATTTATAGTATTGAAATTTGTATTTTCATTTACTCGTGGGTAAAGCTAGGAAAAAACTAAAAAGCTTCTAATTATTTGTTGGATTTTTTTATCTTATATCCTTAGATCATATATTACTAATGTATTTATTGTACCATTTTATAATTAATTTACATGAAAAATATAAATATTGATTTTAATTTAATTAATTAACTAATAAAAATTATTCATGTAATAATGATGTTAAAATAAAGACTAATTTTTGTTTTTTTTATAAATTAAATGTAAAATGAAGTATTTATTGCACCTTAATATTACAAATTAGATAAATCCTCATTTGTTTAAAAAAGAAATTAAAAGGTAAATTGGATCTCTTTTTATGAGGAGCCAAATGAAAGGAATGAGTGGTTTAAACTTTAACCTTAAAGTAATTAGGGAACAAGAACCAAACATATAAAAAATATATTATTATATGATTGGGATTCAAAGAGTGACATAAATCAATTATATGCGCGTTGATTGGAAGAAGAAGATATACCTTAAATTGCTAGTGTTTTCTCCAACCTACAGAGTAAGGATCGACCAATGTGCCTGACAAAAACTTCTCCACAAGTTGCCTGTAAAGCAGAAACCAAAATGCAACAAATTTAAAAGGAAGAAAATCACTATGCGATCTATGATAAGAAAAGTAAAAACCAAACAAGAGATTATGCTACTATATAATACAATTTAATAAAAAGATCAAAAAGTCGGAAATATCAAAGTATAATGAAAAGATTATGCTACTATCTATTAAAGTTTAATGAAAAGATTATAGTACTAGATTCTACTCCTCTAAGTATCAGAAAATAAAGCTTTGAGGGAAGTAAAAGGAATGTGGAAAAACACACATTTAGGAATTAGGAACTATATATACCTGCTGCCTGAAAATTGTGCTTCTTCAATTTGAGTCTTTGAGAATATTGAAAGTGTAAATTGCAGAATATGATGTAGATTTCACCAAATTGATGCAATCTGCAAAACAAGAGAATACAATGTGAGATAGAAAGTTAAATATAGGAAAATTTTCACCAAAAGAAAATGGATAACAGAAAAAATGGTACAGAATCAAGCAGCAAAGTTAGGAAGGTTTTAGGAGTTTTTGCAAGCTAAGGCCACATTAAGGTAAGTTTTACCATTTTGTTAACTTAGATATTTAAAAAAACTGGAAGTTTAAGTTGCATTAACATGGTACAGCAGAAGTTTAAGTGTAAAATTTGGAGACTTGAAATATTATTTATGTGCATGCAAGATAGAAACTTACCATTAATTTTTTATTACCCTTTCTGTTTGCATGTGCTAGAACCTTGTGAAAGATGATTTTTTGATTGAAAATCTGCAAGAAGCGAAAGTCGGTAGTCACGTTAGTTGTTGTACAGTTACTTTATCCTGCTTATTTGCTGAATGTGTGAACTGAACTAAGAATGAAGTACATGCAGATACATTTGAAAGATTGCATCATGATTAATGTGAGAACTGAACCATGGCTAGTCCATTGTTGGCTAAAGCATGCGTTTGGTTCTTTATCTTAGTAAATTTGAAACTTTTATCATTTCATCTTATATATATTATGGAGTTTTTAGTCCCCGAACTTAAGTTAGTGTTTTAGATGAGAGGAACTTTTCCTCCTAAAGTTCTCTAAACTTTCCATCTTATAAGGTTATTTACATATTTTCACACATTAAAACTACAACAAAATGAAAGTAAAGGTCATTCAATTTATATTTTCCCTGGCACAGATTCTAACTTATAAAATTTTCTTTCCACCTATTTCGATAGAATTAGGAAGAGATTTTATTTTATTCTAATTTCTTAAAACACACCCTTACAGTAAATTCCTACTTACTTTCCCAGCAAAAAAAGAAAGAATGAAGAAAGAATTACGAGTTGAGATTTTGATAGATTTAGGAGGAGATTTTATTTTATTCTAATTTCTAAATATGGTGTGGTATTGGCGCGCCAGGAGGTTTGAACCTTCCTCCTTCCGCAACCGTTTCAAGTTTTCCACCACTAGGCCAGCATAAACGTTCTGTGGTGTGGAAATTATCTTATAAATAATTAAGAATAAAATATTAAAATTAGTAAATTTATTTTTGAGTAGGTTATCTAATTTATAAATGTAATTTTTGTAATAAATTTATATTGCAAAAACAAAAATCAAACTTTCATTTATCAATTATCTAATTAAATTTATCAATTAAATACCAACACTAAAATTAATATAAATTTTTATATTTTTCTGCCTTCATTTTTAATAAAAAAAAGTACCCTTAATAACTTTAGAAGAACCCTTTTTTATTTTATTTATTAGAATTACATGTTAGAATAACTGTTTCTTATTTTATTTATTAGGGTATAAGTTAGAAGAACTATTTTTATTTTATTTAATAAATAACCTTTCTAACTTGATAGAAGTTAAAATATTAAAAAAGTTAACATATTAAAAAAACTTTTTAATAAAATAAAGTATACAATTAGTTAACATTTAAAAATAAAATAACAAGAGTTAAAGTCTTTACCTTTAATCTTAAATTATAAATCATATTGCTAAATAAAATAATTTTTTTTAAGAATTCAAAAACTTTTGTAGAAGAAGAATTCAAAATTTTTATTTTAATAAAATCATAAATAATAATGATTGGATAGGATTCACAATTTTAATATTCAAACATTAAATAGAGTTTCTAAAAAAATTAAAATAGGGTTTGATTTAATGGTATCATTCTTTTTCTTTTATTTTTTTATTTTAATGATAAAAAAAAAAAAAACTCATTTGTAGCTCTTTTTTTCTTTTTTTTTTTGGCTAACCGTCCATGCCATGGACAATGGGCAACTCATTTGTAGCTTTAGTTATTCCCTCAATTAACGCTTTTATCTCTCCTAATTTACAAAACATGCCATTGAGAAAAAAAATTAAAAAACCGAACTCGGAAGAACAGAACCGAAACCCATTCCATTGTCTCTCCGCATCCTCCGTTTTTTGGTTTAATTAGAGATAATTAAAATTATTTTCAATGGTTAATTATTTAATTATAAAATAGTATTAATTAATTACTTTTCACTGAACTCATCATCAACGGCTAATCATCACTGAAATAGGAGGGAAAAAAAATTGCCAGCCAAGCAAACATAAACGGAGAGATAACAGTTTCTGAAATAATCTGTAGAAAGAGGGGTCATTTGCCACCATTATAAGAGTTAGATGATTTAAAAGCTTCTGTTTTAAGTATAGGGTCTGATCTGCCCTTTTGCCGCTAAAACGATCAAATTATAGTTATCTTATTTTGAATTTTTTTTTTAATCTTATGAACATGAGTTTCAAAGGAGAATTTTTTTTATTAAATAACTTTTGATATTCAAAAGTTATATTAGGTCAAACTAATCTGAAATCAAATTGTATCATATAAAGAAAAACTCTCATATCATTTATTTTTCATTCATAAAATTCGAACTTTAGAGTTTTGCTTAAATTTTTGCTTAAAAGATACCAAGCTCCTTTCATTTGGAATAATAAGTCATTTGTTTAAATGAGAATTTAATATAATAAACAAATAGCAATTAAAAATTTTTATGATTAAATGAAACTACTAACAAGAACTACATATATTAAAAAAATTCAATTATAATTCTATGTGGTTAAATTTTTATATAAAGTTCATATATATAAAGTTAAAATGTTGAATGAGAACAACTGTCTTGGATGAAGAAAGTAGAAGGATAAATTTGAAAAAATGTATCAGACACATAAAAAACAAAATAAATGATAATTAAAAATTTTCTTTGATCTAAGTAAAAATATTTCATAAGAACTATGTATTAAAAAACAAAAAGGTAATTATCATCTATTTGCTATATAAAATCATCTAATCTCATAAAAAAGTCAAATTGAGACAATTAAATCTGACAATAATGGATAAAACAACTGATATTTATTGATAAAGAGATTGAAATAAGTCTATAAATAAATTTTTTTAATATTACAAGCAGTTGTTTTAAAAAATATATTATGATTTGCTGCAGCATGTTAGTGGTGCATAATTTATTATTCTCTGTGCTTCAATTATGTATCCAACACCAGTTTTGTACATGAGTTGTAGTTTCCTTTAGACTTCTTCAAATAAAATCTTCCTCTATTTGATATATTTGTATTTTAGATTTTAATTTTAGTAAATTATTTAATCTTTTTGTTTGACTATGCTAATTAAACGTAGAGATTAAAAAATGGAACTTGAAAACTCAATCCCGGTGGTTATATAAGTTAGGAAACCCTTTTTTCTAGGTTGCTTAACAAAGAAACGTTAAGAACTAGATTGAAAAAAGGAAAAAAAGACGAGGATTTGGCTTTGGACTACTATGTATCTAGACTCCGAAGTTAGTGTGTGTATATTGTTATGTGCAGATTTAATGAATGCAACATAAATCAGTTGTACAAATTAATTAATTGAAAGATGAAAATCTACCTCGCTTAAATGGCTAGTGCTTTCCCCGAATAACCTTCAAATGAAAACAGAAAGGGATATGCCAAATTTTTTCCCTTTATTATTATTTTTTTTTTGTGGAGCAGCAAAGGGAGGGGCCTACTGAAACGCTTCTCCACGGATTGCTCGGAATTTTCTAGCTGCATAAAAGATTTTCATTACATGTAAGGTAAAATTTTAAAGTACTGTAATAAAGAGGTTAATAGACAAAAGTATATAAAAAAAAAAGCTTATACATATATAGGAATTAAATAAAAAATTATACCTACTGGTGTGAAACTTTTGCTTCTGAGAGACACAAAAGTGCAGTAGATTTTATCAAAATGATGCAATAATCTGTAGAAATTAAAAAATACAATATAAGATGGTAAGTTAATAAAAATAAGCAAGGTTGAAAAAGAAAAAAATTAAAGTTGAGCAGAAAAATGGTAATCCAAAAATTAAAGTTGAGAAGAAAAATGGTAATCCAACCATTCGTAAACTCATGCGAACATGAAGCTTACGAGTTACCATAGAAAGTATGGGGCAGTAAATAGAAGAATGCAGAGAAAGTAGAAATGAAACCGGAACAATAGTTGTTGATTTTCTTCTACCTTTTTTAAACTAAAAGATCAATTCAGTAATTTTATTAATTCAGTAATTTTAATTATGGGTCTTAATATATTTAAAGTATTATTTACACATTTTTTTTGTGGGATTTTAATTGTCACACTCATAAAGATATAACATACTTTAATAGGTTCAAATATTAAAATTTATAATTTTTTTAATTGTTTTACCTTTAATTTTAAATTAAAAAATAATATGTAATTTAATCACTTGATTTGATTATAGATATCTAATACTATATTAGTGTATGTGAAAAAGTCATTTATTAATTTTTTTTATTTATTAATTTTTTAATGTTTAATATGTTAACTAAATTGTTACATTTAAAAAAAAAAATTTAAAAACTAATCATGTAAATATTTTATTATCACTTTAATAAAAAATTAATAAATTCTATTAGTTTAAAGGTACTTTAATGGGGAATTAACTAATTCTATTAATTTAAAGGTAAAAATCTTCAAACCTATAAATTTAAGAGTTAAATTTTTTTTTAATATAAGATAAGAGATTAAAAGTTTTAAACTTATTAAGATAAGAAACTAAACACAAAATTTAACACATATATATAGATCGGCATCGTACTCATTCTTTATATGGTTCACTAATTCTAGTGCTCCAT